GTCCCTGTGCCTTTATTGCCATCATGTGGCAGAAGCAGCAAGGCTTGCAAGGGTATAGCTATGAACAAACAGATTTTAGCCAAGCTATTTATAAGCACTTCAAGAAAGTGCCAAGTACTTCCTTTGTAGATAGATGCACATACAATGTTCATTTAGAAAACACAGCTCCTGATCAGTGTAAATACAAACCCCATCTAAAAAGCCAACTTTACCAGCAGTAGTTGAACCCTTATCACCTAAGCCTTAGGGGGAAATGATTAAATGTAAACTGTCCTTGCCCTGACTGCCTCCTCTCTTCTCCCACCATAGAGTCCTCATTGTAGCAGCAAGACTGCCAACTGAAGGTGGCTTCTGAAGGACACACACACGATACAATTTATTCATAGTCACTGAATAGGAAAATGCATTTTATGTTGGTGTGGTGTAAGCAGTGTCTCAGGAGAAGGGGGAGTATGCCAATTTTAATGGCTGCCAGCAGATCTTTTGATGCTGTGTCATAATCAAGTGTTTTACCACGATCTTGAAGTGATGATGGTGATGGTGATTATTACTACTACTACTCTAGTGCCTGGAAGCCAAAGCATTGTCAAGTTTTCTTGGAAGGTTTGTGGAAAAGAGATCTGAAAGAGAAGAATGAAGTGCAGCTTTGCAATAGTGCTGCTGTTTGAGAAGACAAAGAACTCACTCCAGTACCCTTCTTTGGGTTTTGGGTTTTTTGGTTTGTTGATTTCTTTTTATTATTTTGTTTTGGTTTTGTTTCTCTGTGGGGTTTTTGTGTTTTGGTTGTGGTGTTGTTTGTTTTGTTTTTTTTTTGGGGGGGGGAGTTGTTTGTTTGTGGGTTTTCTTTGAATATATCCATATATGCATATATCTATCTTACCACAGCTTCTATAACTTTAAAGCAGCAAGGCCAGATTTTTCAACACAGAACTCCACTTCTCAGATCATAACATCCACAATTGAGAACTGCTAGCCCTGATTTAAGAATTGCTGACCTCTGAGGATACAGAAATGCCTCCAGAACAGGTCCTATCCCTTAGCCTGCAGTCTACCACGTTAAAGGAAAACTGTAGAGCAGTGCACGCCATGTCTATGCTTTATTCTCACCCTAGATCTGAAGTAAAAACCCAGTTTAGGCCTTCTCCAGTGAACAGCTTAAAATACATCTTCCAGAAGAGAACTGACACTAAAGACACACGCTGCTGCTGCTACTACTTCTCAGCAATGCTGGGCAGTCAGCAGAGAAGGGCATATGTCTTTCTGAATGAGACAGAGAGTAGACTTCCACACAGGACACACCTCTCCCTCAGGAACTGCCTCTACAAAAGCCACTAGCAGACAGGTGAGCAGACATAGAATACTGATTACTGGCTACCACTTGTTTTAGACTCTGATTGAGAGGAGAAATCAGTGGAGAAAGGTACCCCAACTTAAGTTACTAGCTTCTACATCTCTCCATTCCACATACCATGTAGATTCAGTTCCCAAGGCACTTACATTTTGAAGCTGAAATACAACAAAAGTAATTGAGAACAGGCAAGGCTTGAAGCAAGCAAAGATGGAGGTGCCCATCATTGCCAGTCACACTAGGTCAAATTAAAACTACAATCAAAATCCATGTGCTGTTTAAATAAACTGAACACTATGGATTCACTTACTTTTTGACTTCCAGAGAGCCATTTTCCTTGTTTTCCATGTCAACAGTTAGCATGGGGAGGATAGAAGTTTCTTTTACTTCAGCAACTGATCAATAAGGGGAGAAAAAATTGTGTTTAATTATTGGTAGCATGAAAAGAGCAACATAATGTAACAGGAACAAGCATTCTACCAGGACACAACCATGTTTCCACTTGAGAGCACAGGTGCTGTCAAAAGACCGTTTTTCTCAGAAGCCTGTCAAACCTGGTAATAGCTAATGAACTAGGAAATGCTCACCTGTGCTTCAAACACAAGAAATATTTCACACCTGAAAAATCAAGGAAGGTAATGTTACATTTGATCCTTCCTGAAACTGGTAAAAATTTTATCAAACTTTATACCCATATGTGTAGAGTGATGTGCAATATATAGATAGATATCAAGGGAGCTTATTATGCTTTCAGTCATCCTGCTATACAGAGGATCCAAACAGATGTATGATCTTATCCCTAGTGAGGATAAGATGTGATGTTTTGAAATTCATAGCCTTGTCCTACAAATGGGGTATCCAGGATACAGATCAGCACAAAGTGACTTACACCCATTTCACACATAAGGTGAGTTTAGAATTGAGTGCCAAATTCCTGAGTCCTGAAATCTGTATCTTATCCATAAGACCATCCTTCGTTCACTAACATAGTGTCTTCTACAGCTACCATACACTGGACTCTGAAAAGGAAAGGAACATACGAAGGACACAGGAGAAAATCCAGTTTCCCTCCTCGCAGAGTGTTGGAATACTTTCGCTACACAGCTTTTTCTACCACTCCACAGAACATGCAGAAATGACTGAAGCCTTTTCTTTCTGTTCTCAAGTAAGCCATTTCTATTTCAGAAAGCACCGAAGAACTGACCAAGGGCTCAGGATGCTCTTGCTGTAGCATTAATGGATGCCAGTGAAATGTTACAGAGCTCTGGGAAGTACAGAATAGGGAAATCATGCTCTTCAACTAAAACTTCACAAAACCAGAAGGTAGCAATTAATATTGCTGTTAAAAAAAAAATAAATTAAAAAAGACCCTTTATTACACAGCTAGCAGCAGGCAAAGTACCAGCAAAACAGTAACAAACTAATCGAAAAGATGCTTCTTCCTGCACCGCTGACCAAATAACGCATTCCCTCGAAACACTTCTTGGTTCACCTGAGGTGCCTGCAAAACGACAACCACGCCAGTCCGCCTGCGGGAGGTCCCTCACCCCGGCCACGAAGGACCCGCGGCCACCCCGGGCTCGGGGCACGGCACCTCCCGCGGAGGGAGCCCGCGGCCACCGGGGAGCTCCCGGGGCTCTCCCCTTCCCCGCGGCGGGAGGAGCCAGCTCCTCCGGGGCTGTGTGGCACGCGTTCACCATTTTACAAGCATCTCTGAGACCGTTCGCCAGGCAGCACTGCACCACATTGTCAATTTTTGGCTGGGGGGGGTGGGGTGGGGGGGTGAGGGGTGGGGGGAAGTAAGACAGAAAAACCTACCTACGAGCAACTAAACCAAAGCATTGCTACGGGCTGCTCCGGAGCCCGCGGCTCCCGCCCCCCCGCCGGCAGCGGGGCGCTCTGAGGCGGCTCAGTTTGACACCGGGCAGCAGCCCCGCCTGGCGCCCGGCCCGCCTGACGTGCCCGCCACACACGGCCCGCACCAACCGCCGCCCGCGTCATGGCGCCCGTTTTAAAGGCGCAGCACTGCACCGCCTCCCCAGCTCCCCACGTTCAGCCGGGGGCCCGCGGGGTCCGCCCGCCCGCCGCCCTGCAGCAGCTGCCTTCCTCGCAGGCGTCCGGTCCGCGGAGGGCACCCCAGGGAGTCTGATGGAATGGGAGCAGCGACCGACCCCTCCGGGAAGCGGCTTCCCTCCGGCAGCACTTACCTGCGGGGCAGCCGCGGGCAGGGCGCAGGCGGGCTGCTGGCACGGGCGGCTGCAGGGCCGGAGCGGAGCGCTCAGTGCCAGATTCATGACCTGAGTTTCTTGGGACCTCCGTGTAAACATTTCTACTCCTCCTACCGAGTGGGGTGTATGAAGTAATGGTACGAGTGGGGGAAAAGGGAAAAAATCCACAGACGTTCTTTGAAGGATACAGTACTGAGCCGAAGAAATTTACAGAAGGTGAGAAATGGGAACAACCAGACCTCGGGAAAAAATGATAAAGTTACGTAAAATTCGTTTCTAGGACAAGTTCGTCAACTTGGAGGTGGCTATCAGACACTTGGCTTTCTCTGGAACTGGAGCATCAGCAGGGGCCGGGTGACAGGAAAGGGCACCAACGAAGGGCAGCACTGGGGGAAAAAGGGAGATGGAGACGGCGATTCCCAGGGACAGCTACACCTCGTACTCACATAAACGTCGTACCTTATTTCACAAGGAGACCCACAGATACCCACGGGATTTGCTGTGCAGTGAGGTACAACTCAAAGTGTACGCAAACAGTTGACTACGTCTGGTCCACTGGCAATGAAATCTCACCCACAAAGATTCATACAAATGTTGGCACATTCCATTGCACTTTTTTTATTACACTATTCTTAAACTTCTTCTCCCAGACTTCCCTTGATTCAGGCTGTTTTCTAATGGCATAGAAGCTTTACATGGATGACACGCTGTCAGCAGTAGGGAAATTAAGAAAGTAATACCAGCCAACCCACCCTGCATTCCCCATGCATGGGCTTTGCAGACCCCCTCCACACCAGGGCTGTGTCCCAACCACAACTCAGAGGCTGTGACCTTCTGACCATCCTTAACAGCCTGGGTTAGTACAAATTTTGGGATGTCTTACTTGCAGAATTTCCCTCCTAGTCAAAAGACACCCTTGCAGTTCACCAAGAGGCAATAGGACATTATAAGCTACCTGGGGGATTCATACGGAATGAGCTGGTGACTTCAGCCGATTTCTGCAGAGCAAGTTACGGCGCTGTGCCACAAGTGCCCCAGCTGGCACCCGCAGACAGAGCAGCAGGGCAGGCATAGGGCTGGCACAGGCACCCTGCATCTGTCTCACTCACAGAAACAGCTGAGTGCATCCTGGCTGCACGCATGGGCAGAGACCTGAGTCAAGTAACTGCTAACCAGACACAGTTACAAGCACTAAAATCACAGGAAAAGCCCATTTTCGTGCAAAGGACAATAGATGTGACTTCCACAACCATTTCATTTTGCCTGACTTACATGTTGCCAAATAAATAACCAAAGTTCGCAAAACTTATGCAAATAATGGGACTCAAGCATTGAGAACAGAGAGCAGGAGGAATCCTCACTGCTTTTGAATTTAAATAAATTCAGATGAACAAGTTAAATAGAGTATTAAACATTCTGCACCCTAAAGAAAACCCTCTTTACTTCACATCCCAAAGTGTGCTGTAGAACGTAGCATATCTGTGTTGGACAAGTAAGAATTATTTTTCGTCTCTCAAGAAATAAGCATTCTAAATGAAGCCATAATGAGTTCTCTGCATCAGCTGGCTTCTAACTTGGTAATGAACTGACATTTGAGGATACAAATATAAACCAGCTATTTTACTCACGCTCTCCCCTTCCTTCCATCATGTTCTTCAATTAATCCTTGGAGTATCTGAAGTGAGGCTCACACAGTGCGTGCGTTCTGGCTAAAAGACCTTGAACAGCAGAGAGAGGAAAACAGGCTGTGGAAAAATTCAATGTGGATATGATCAGTAGTTTGTATTTTCATTCAATGGAGTAAGGTAATTTAATTAAGAGGAGATTACGCCTGAAGGGAGACAAAACAGGAAAGTGAATTAGACTTTTGTTTGACTATTTGCATCCCACTTCTAGCAAAAAAAAAACCAAACAGTTCCAGGACATGTAGGGAACGAAGCAAGACCAGGATTGATTAAGGGGTCAACTCCACGTGTTTCTGAGCTTCTGCTGTTACACGAGGAGAAATGTGCAGAAATCAGAGTAGGTACTGGACACTGATGACCCTGGGGGGTGGGTATTGGAAAACACCAGTTTTCTACTGAAAAATATTATATTTTTTTGTCCCTGGAAGTGACAGCAACACATGAAGACAAAATGCATTGCACGTGTAGCTAAGGAGAGCGTAGTACCCTGTTAACTGTGCAACAGGTAAGCAATTTCAGGTCCCCCAGAGCAAAATAAAGCCCTTTAAACCTTTCTTGTTCCAACAGCCTGGGTAAAATCATGGCTAAACCCGTTCACGGATCAAGTGGAGCGTGGAAACAACGAAGGGCTTGCGCGGTTTCACGTTGAGGGAAGCGAGGAAAGCTCCTCTTCATAAACTAGGCTTATGCAGAGCAGAACGGGTTGCATCCGTGTGTAAAACACGTATTTCCCCTGTCAGTGACCCAACGTTCCAACGCCGGGCACACAGACGGCTGTGGGGGACAGGCCGCACACGCGACGCCCGCCTTGGGCGCGAGGCGGCAGTAACGGCCGGCGGCCCCGCCAGTGCCCGCGCACCTCGCCGCCAATCGCCGCCAGCCGCGCGGCCTGCCGGGAGCTGAAGTCCCTGAGGGGCAGCCCGGCTAAGCTGCCCTCCCCCGGCACAGCACCCCCGGTGTGGAGCCTGGGGCGCGGCTGTCACAGCACCAGCTGCTCCGCTGACTGAGCGACAGCGCTGGAAGGCGGTATGCTTTTCCTCGGGATGCTCAGGGAGACATTTCGGGGCTGGCAGTGATCAGTAGTGGTTCCTGGCGGCCAGATTGGAAATGCTGCTCACCGCGAGGAAGAGAGTAAACCAGAGATAGGCAAAATGCTGAGAGATTTCATCCAAACGTGATTAGTGACCAAAAAATCATCAACCCCTCTTAATGTAACACTGGGGGCAGGGGAAACAAACGTGGCATAGACTGGTTTTAAGTAATTCTTGTCATAGATGTGGAAGCGACACAGGTTCAAGATGAATGCTTGCTACTCAAACGGAATTAATTTATAGCTATTTCCAGTCTAAAAATCCCTTTTGCATTGTTTCCTTCCTAGCAATACAGGACTAAAAAGGGACCTTCCAGGCTGCAGAGTTTTATCTCCTGCCACCTCACACAAACCGGCACACCACCACATCTGCACGTAGCGCTGGTTTTGAACCCGTAAGAAATCTCATCCCACTCTGCCAAGCAGAAAGTCTGTGTCAACCTCCCCTTTACTGGTGGTTACGAACTTTCAATTTACAACTTGAAAAATACATGACCAGTTTAGACCTATTTGTTCCTGTAGTAATATTGTTTAATTTAATAATTGACTTCTCAATTTCTGTGGTATTTACTTGCTTATATAGACTCAGCTGTCTGAATGGCCATAGCCCTTTTAGACCCTCTCTGTAATAAGGTCTGCGTGTTCTGAGCTTGTTCCCCTTTCCTCTTTGTGTACATTTGCCTCCCAGGTGCAGACATTTGGGGCTGCACTGTGAGGTGCAGTAGGGCCTCAGCAATAACTTCTACCTTCCCTGTCTGCTCTGAAGAGCTCCTAGCTTCACACTACACTTACAGAGTCTTTTCCAGAGTCCCTGGCAATTACTGTACACCCAGAAAGAGGCAAAGTCCCTGTTAGTGATCCAGGTTGCACCTTTCCAACACTTTTCTCTCAGAAAACTCTCTTTCCTTAGTTACGGTCTTTTCCACTCCAGTCCATATTCTTTCAAGCTTGCATCTTACCTTGCTCCACCGTATCAACAGCTTAATACCCATTGTCCTGCTTTCCCTTCCCTGCTTTGGCATTGGACAGAAGAATGAGGGACAGTTCCCAGCAAGGTACTTCAGTTTGCACGCAGAGTCCAGCAATGAAGCACCTCTCTTCGATTCCTGCCTTGGCCAGGAAGGTCGTTAAAAAGCTATGTTGTGTCTGACCTGCCAGGGTTTTCTGTAAGGTAGAGCATTGCCATGTTGCTCTGAAGTGCTGCATAAAGCCTGGACAAAAGGCCAAAGATAGCATTGGTGTAAAGCAAGTCTGGGGAGAGGAAAGGCAGAAAACCCTTAGCAAGAGCACAGCAGAGTGACTTTTACCAACCCAGCATTCACTTCTGAGGCAATTAAGTTGAAGTGTGTGTTTAAATACTAGGTCAGAGCACAAGAGCCATTCAGCCTGGATGTGTACTCCACATGGTAACCTGGGTACACCCTCACAGGTTAAAATGGAGGTCCACAGATGCACAGGAAGTTTTGTGAAAGCGCTGTTTCAGGATCAGTGCACGGGTTAACATCTCTGTAGGCGCACAGTGCCGCATCAGCAGCCCAGCTCCCTGCATGCCTGGCGGGGAGGAGCGCTGCTCTGCCTCGCTGACAAGGCAGTAATTAACGGGATGGCAAAGCCCGTTCTGTTCTGATGGGGACTCCGTTAAACCTTTGCTTTAGTATGCTGAGGTTCTTTTTACACAACAAGCATTATCCACCCCCACCCCTTTTTTTTTTTTTTTTTGGTAATTTCATGAATTTCCAATAGGATGACTAGAGTTGCACCCTCTTCACACCAGGCTGAAAATGAATGTGTTCAGCAGCTGACTGCAATGCAATCCAGTGGCACCTTCCTACTTTTGCTTCCTCTGTTTTCCAAGACTGAATTGCTTAAATAAATCTTCCTGCATGTGAATTATATCCACTTCACTGAGAATTTCCTGCCCTACTTATTTTGTTATGCTCCTTCTCATCCTAGTAGTAGCTCATATTTAATAAAGCTACTGTCCAGACTTAAACCCTTGTTATTTTAAGGCTTATACTTTATATGAAAAAACATCATACAAACCACAACTCATTCTGCTCCTACTAGCAGTAGTACCTGCCACATATTTGCTTAGCTTGTGATAACGCAGCAAGAAGCTTATGAAAATTATTCACATGAAATACCAACATTGTAAAAGAGAATCCAGCCTAATAAAAATGTTTTATATAAATATGGCTCAGACATTTCAGTGAAATAGCTGTTAAATCTATGGAAAATCTGAAAGGCAGTGCTTTGGTTGTATGAAGTGAAGCAAAGGAAAAAGCACAACATGCTGATGCTTGCTAGGTTTTCCCCACTTTGCTGGGAAGCTTTCTTCCCACCGGGAAATCACCTACCTCCCCAAGAGGTTTTCTTAGAAGCCAAGACTGCAAATATCCAGGTCTATGTATCCACTCAATAAAGAAAAGAGAGGCAGAGGCTTAGACACAAACCCACCTTGGTATCAGGAGTCCAGCCGAACTAGTCTGTTCCTTCATGGTTTTCTTTTGAATAAATATTCTGGGCATGCACAGAGATCTATGCCACACCTGGATGTGGCAAACTGTTGAAGGGTGTCCACCTTTGCTAACCACAGCCATTTGGGGAATGATGGTATTTCAGAGGTGCACAGGCAGACCATTCAGTGAGTTTCCAGGGCTGTGAGGTTTTTCCACCAGTTACTCAGTAGGCAGGCAGAGTTAGCCAGAGTCAGGCAGTTTTAGCCTGCTTCAGAAACATCCAGATTTCTAAAATCTGTAAAGTAACTTCTAAGATTCGTAAAGCACACGTTCTGGTGAATACTGTCATCTTCCTTCAATGTTACAGTTCTGGTAAAACTGCCAGATAGCAGTTGTGGAAGACCAGAATGTGGCATTTCTTCCATGGAGGGTGCTGCTCCTCAGCCCACTGAAAGCACCACAGGCCCAGAGAAGGGTGTTTTCAGCACCTCTCAGTCACTGTGCCAGTGTGGATCTTATGAGCTCTCTATCTGCTTGTAGGCACTGAGAAAGCCAAAAGAAATCACGGCAACCCTGTGCTTTTTATGTAAATATGAAAGATCAAAGGACACGCATGTTGTTTGGCAAGTGGTTGCCAAAACTGCTAGTGACTGCAAGAAAGGACCCACTGTTGCAGCAGGGGAAGTGTTCCAGACACACATTAGATGGCCCTGTTTCCCCTCTCTGCTCTCTCCTTTGATATAACTAGATGCTCACACATGTCAGGCACGACAGACATTCAAAAGTTGTGCATTAAGGTTGTAACAGTTAAAATTCACTTTTTAAGAATTTGATCAGCTCTAAATTGGTTGATGAGGCTCAAGAGAGATCAGAGGTGCTCTCAAGAACACACAGGCTGTAACTTCATCTTCTCTTGACTGCTCTGGTGGTCACATAATTCAAGAAAATGCATTTTGCCTGTAAACGTAGCTTCAATTAATAGAGACTTATCCAACTCTAAAAAAATTATATTCTCTCTACTGTAAATACTGTATATTCAATGAACCAGCTTAAAAGCACTTTTCAATTTCTTTTCTCTTCTTTTTTTTTTGTGGCAGTCTTTGGCTAAAAGCAGTGTATTTCTGAACTTTCAACTGCATATAATACAGAAATGTGACTGTGTGCTATTAAACAGCCCCACCGATTCTTGCCTCTCATGAAAACAGGATTTATCAGTGAGATATTTTAGTGAAATTCTCATACAGCACATGCAACAATATATAATGAAAACAGTGCTTTTGTTCAATTTAGTGTCAAAGCCTTGTTTTTGCTGATATGAAAATCAGCAGAAAAATATTGCAAGTATTTAAATACTGCAAGGATTAAAGGCAAAATCTACTAATACATAAAGAACAAATACTCGTTGTTGGTGTTGCATGTATCACCTGACAGATTATGTGACCACTACAGTCAGAATTTCTCATTCCCTACTGCTCTTAAATATTTATCTTCCACCCCTCTTGTTCTTACCATGCTCTGGAGCTGACATTTCTTTCACACACCGTTCTATGCCATATAAATAAATTCTGCCATCTACTGGCAAAAGAATGCAACGAGAGCTTTTTGTTCTAGAGAAGCTAAGGTGGAATCGTGATTCATCTCGTATAGGTTTTTGTAGTAATCTGGAACACTGAAAACAAAAAAGAAAAATCAAGAAAAGTCAGAGTTGAGTTCTGTTAGTCAATAAGTAGCTGCAGAATTAAGACCAGTTTAATAACTTCAGACATAATACTAAGAATGCTCTAAAGCATAGCTTTGGGTTGTACAAATCCCAAGTAAAATGAAAAATACATATTGAAACTTTAAGGGGCTATTTCCCCCCCAGCAGTCACTGCAGTACTTCTCTTGGCAGGAAATGTACCTTGCAGCCAACCCAGACCTGGTCTGAAATTCCCTTCCAGAATGAATGAGCTATGGGGACTTTCGGAACAGGAGGTGCCTGCCTGATGCGGATGTCCTCCTGAAGCCAAGTCCCTGCATTATGTCCTAAGCTACAGAGCAGGTAACATCTATAGAAGTAGAACCATGCTCCTGACAAACTAACATGCTAACATTAACAAACTCTTATCACTGGATTGTACACATTATATCATGTAACTGAT